TGCGTGAAAGTTGAAAAGGTTTGAGAATGTCAAAAGTATGAAACAATTGCTTGGCTTGTCATCGGGGTTGTGCATGATTTGAATATTTTGTGTGATGAAGATGGAGCATAGCCAGACTATATGATTTTGTAGGAATAACTTTCTTTGGCCATGTTGTTTTGAAAAGACATGATTGCTTTATTAGTACGCTTGAAGTATTATTGTTCTTATGTCAAATGATAGACTATTGCTTTGAATCACTCGTGTCTTAATATTCATGCCATGATTAGACATATGATCAAGATTATGCTAGGTAGCATTCCACATAAAAAATTATCTTTTTTATTATTTACCTACTCGAGGACGAGCAGGAATTAAGCTTGGGGATGCTGATACGTCTCCGTCATATCCATAATTTTTGATTGTTCCATGTCAATATTATTCAACTTTCATATACTTTTGGCAACTTTTTATACTATTTTTGGGACTAACATATTGATCCAGTGCCCAGTGCCAGTTCCCGTTTGTTGCATGTTTTATGTTTCGCAGAAACCACATATCAGACGGAGTCCAAATGGGATAAAAACAGACGAAGATTATTTTTGGAATATTTATGATTTTTGGGAAGAAAAATTAACGCGAGACGGTGCCCGAGGGTCCACGAGGCAGGGGGCGCGCCCCCGACCCTCGTGGGCACCCCGTAAGGAAGTTGACGATCTTCATTTGCCGCAAGAAAGCTAATTTTCGGAGAAAAATCTTGGTGAAGGTTTCAATCCAATCGGAGTTACGGATCTCCGGATATATAAGAAACGGTGAAAGGGCAGAATCTGGGAACGCAGAAACAGAGAAAGACAGAGAGACAGATCCAATCTCGGAGGGGCTCTCGCCCCTCCCACACCATGGAGACCATGGACCAGAGGGGAAACCTTTCTCCCATCTAGGGATAAGGTCAAGGAAGAAGAAGAAGAAGGGGGGCTCTCTCCCCTTGCTTCCGGTGGCACCGGAACTCCGCCGGGGGCTATCATCATCACCATGATCTACACCAACACCTCCGCCATCTTCACCAACATCTCCATCACCTTCCCACCGTCTATATTCATCGGTCCACTCTCCCGCAACCCGCTGTACGCTCTACTTGAACATGGTGCTTTATGCTTCATATTATTATCCAATGATGTGTTGCCATCCTATGATGTCTGAGTAGATTTTCGTTGTCCTACCGGTGATTGGTTTAATTTGCTTGTGGTTATGTTGCTGTCCTATTGTGCCCTTCGTGTCGCGCAAGCGTGAGGGATTCCCGTTGTAGGGTGTTGCAATACGTTCATGATTCGCTTATAGTGGGTTGCTTGAGTGACAGAAGCATAAACCCGAGTAAGAGGGTTGTGGCGTATGGGATAAAGGGGACTTGATACTTTAATGCTATGGTTGCGTTTTACCTTAATGATATTTAGTAGTTGCGGATGCTTGCTAGAGTTCCAATAATAAGTGCATATGATCCAAGAAGAGAAAGTATGTTAGCTTATGCCTCTCCCACATAAAACTTGCCATCGGTCTAGTAAAGTAGTCAATTGCTTAGGGACAATTCCACAACTCCTACCACCACTTTTCCACACTCGCTATATTTACTTTATTGCTTCTTTATCTAAACAGCCCCTAGTTTATATTTACGTGCTCTTTATTATCTTGCAAACCTATCCAACAACACCTACAAAGTACTTCTAGTTTCATACTTGTTCTAGGTAAAGCGAACGTTAAGCGTGCGTAGAGTTGTATCGGTGGTCGATAGAACTTGAGGGAATATTTGGTCTACCTTTAGCTCCTCATTTGGTTCGACACTCTTACTTATTGAAAGATGCTACAATTGATCCCATATACTTGTGGGTTATCAAGAACCGCCTCCGTTACCTCGGCACCACAAAGATCCCAATGATGTTGATAGAAATGAGCTGGAAAATCGCCGGGTCCCGGTGCTTTGGTGGGGAACATCTGAAAAAGGGCTGCCTTAACTTCTTCTCCCCTGTAAGGTGCAACGAGTAACTCGTTCATCTCGGCTGTGACCTTGGCTGGTACACAATTGAGAACCGCTTCCATATTGTTTACACCCTCTAATGTATACAAAGTTTTATAAAAATCATGTACCGTTGCTTTAAGTTCCTCCGGATCATCTGTCAAGACTCCAAGATAGTTTTGAAGGGCCTTTATCATATTCTTCTTTCTTCGTATGCTCGCTCTCAAGTGGAAAAACTTTGTGTTTTTGTCACCCGACGTTAGCCACTCTATCCTGGACCGCTGCCTCCATAGTATTTCTTCACGATGGTAGAGTTCAACTAAATTTTCGTTTATCTTGAGCTGAACGTGGGACGGAGCCGTTCGACTTGGATCAGACCGAAGCTTCTCCAGCTCCGTTTTCAGCCGTTTAATCTTTCTCCGCACGTTTCCAAAGGTCTCATTGTTCCAACGCCCCAAGTCCTGGGATATCGCATGCAGTTTAGCCCATAGATCCTCCACTCTGTTGCTGATCCCCCCGCCTGTCCATGCTGCGCTAATAGTGTCACTCCATGATTCATGGCCTTCCCACATTACCTCATACCGGAAAGGTTTTGGCTGCCGGCTACGTGGTTGCTCTCTGTTCAAGCGCATCAGAATCGGGTAGTGGTCCGATGACGCTGTCGTCAGGTGTATCAGATCCGCAAGAGGAAACCTTGCTCGCCAATCAGCATTGGCTAGTGCATGATCCAGCCAGACCCTTGTGTAGGATCCTCCCCTCACTTTCTTTTCAAGGGTCCAGAAGCGGCCAGTATAACCAACATCTAGCAACATGCAGACATCAACCGCATCACGAAAGTTCTGTATTTGTGCATTGCTCCTTTGTCCAACTCCCTCATGCTCATCGGGACGTAGAACTTCATTAAAATCACCAAGGCAGAGCCAAGGGAGACTGCTAGAAGTGCTGATGTTTTTCAGTATATCCCACGTTTTATATCGAAGGTGTGTTTGCGCTTCGCCATATACCACAGTAGCTATCCAAGGGTCAAACCCTACCTCCTCAACAGAGCAATCAATATGGTAGTCCGAGTAACCAAGAATTTCCAATTTTATTTCATTGTTCCAAAAAATGCCAATACCTCCACTTCTACCGCGACTATCAATCGCAAAACTATTATCATAACCAAAGGTGCCTGCTAGCACTTCTACCCTCGAGCCTTCTAACTGAGTTTCCACAATACATAAGAGGGTAGGGGCAAATTTGTTCATGAACTCGCGAACCTCTCGAACTGTCGCGGCTTTGCCCGCGCCCTGACAGTTCCAACAGAGCGCACTCATTGGGCCCGGCGGTGCTCCTCGAAGGAGCCCGCCAAATTCTTCACTTTTGAGATTGCACCTTCGGAGTCCTCCTCCGTCTTCTTGGTTCTCTTCAGGTCCCTGTGCGGTGGTGGACTCACATCCATCAAAACTGCCGGCACAATTGCAAGTGAGTTCATGTTTTCCTCTGCAGTTTCAGAGATTTTTTGAGGTGTGGTAATTTTGGCCCCCAACTCGGCTCCCGCGTTCCTCTTCCTGCTCCATTCCTCCATATCCGCATCACTGGCCACCCTGCTCGGGTCCTCATCAACATGGTATGCGCCACGAGCGTCTTGTTCTGTCATATCGCCTCGGCCCCCCTCTGATCAACCGCTTGGGCGGCCCCCTGATCGCCATCCTCTACGTCCACCTCTCTGGTTGCGGCCTTCTCTCGGACCTCGACCGGTACGCATAGCCCAGCTGGCTCGAAGATCCTTGAACACAAGGGCTGACGGAGGGTGGATGCCATTGCCGTGTTCCCTAAATTGGTGACCTAGCATGCCACACACCGCGCACCAGTCAGGGAGCTTTTCGTACTTAACTTTGTATATCTGCATCTTCCCATCTCTGATCATAGATACCGCATTCTTGAGGGGTTTATAGACATTGATGCTTACCCAAACTCGATGAAAATTGCCCACAAAATCATGTGAGTTAGGTTCTGAGAATAGAACTTCTCCCACCTTTGCTGCTAGCGGAGTCACCAGATGAGCATACAGTTCTGGTGCATCATGGATTTGGATCCATAGGTTGATTGTCTCAAGCTTAACAGTGGAAGGCTTCGAGATTCCATCATATGGCAGAGGAATCACCGTGTCTCCCCTGAAGTTCCATGGACCATCGTTCATGACTCTCTCCCAATCACCAAGGCAAGTGAATTGGATCGTATACAGGTTTTCCTCCAGAGGTTTAAACCTAGCCTCCTGTGCGATGTCCCATGCCGCTCTCATGTTTCCGTAAAACCAAGTCTGGTTGTAGCTCTTCGTGGTGTTAACCCTAGCTAGGGTATCCATCTCGGCCCCTCCGGCGGCACAACTTGCTCATCGAAGATCACATCGTCCAAGTCCTCCTCTCTCAGTCCCAGCTCTTTCATCATCTGCTCAACTTCAATGATTCCCGAGGAGCTCAAGTCCCCGGAAGCCGCCATTAGATCTCTCACCCGAAGAACAGATCGGGTCGTTTGGGGGAACCCTAACTTCCGCCGGCCCCTCCCCTCGACACGGGCGAGAGAGGGGGTTGATCGGCGATAGGGGAGCAAAATCTCGACGGCGGCGAAGATCGCCCCGGGAGAACAACTCGAAACCCTAACTAGAGGGAAGGATCTGGAAGGCATGTGATTTTGTACTATCTACTCCCTCCGTTCCAAAATAGATGACTCAACTTTATACTAAAGTTAGTACAAAGTTGGGTCATCTATTTTGAAACGGAGGGAGTAATTTCTGATGCTATATATAGTCTAAAACGCCCAAAATCCCCACGGAGAAACACAGCCCCATGGAGAAGCACAACGTTCACTCGTGGCCGTGCCGACGTGGATCCAATAATTGTTGCGGGCCCACACCTCCTCCACCCGAAGCCGATCTGACGAGCCGTTCCGGGCCCAGACGCTACTCACTCCTCCCTCCAAACAAATTGTATAATTATTTTGACGTCCTTAAAACCTTTTTGTGCTCGATGACATGCGGGCCAGAGCAGCCTCCGACCAACTATTTCCCAATTTATATACTCGAGTGAATTGCTCCCCCCTCTCTCTCCCTCTCTCTCTCCTCTCTCCCGTTCAAAGTCGTCGTCTTGCTCTCGAGCTGTTTGATTCGATTCTTATCAATCCACCATCCTCCGTAGCTGCAGGTCCGATCGTGGCGGTTATGCCATCGGCAGCGCTGGCTGCCACGCCGGACTCTGCGTCGCCGTCTCTGCACCACTACCGCGGCCGGTTGCGCTCGCCGCTGGCAAACGGCGGCACCAAGGGGAACTTCGAGCTCCGGCACTGGCGCACGCCGCTCAAGCGGGCGCCGTCGTGCCCACCGCCGGGCATCGAGATCCCCAGCAACGACGACGATGGCAGCGGGAACGGGTACACCAGCCTCCGGGACATCCTAGCGTCACCGCGGTACGTGGGGGCGGGGAGCTCGCCGGCGGCCTGCGTCATCGGTGGCGCCGGCAGCTGTGGGGACATACACATGATACGCCACCCGCTGGTAAAACACGCGGCGTACGCGTACCTGCAGATGACGCCGTCGGCTAGGGAGGACCCAACCCGCCGGAACCGGCGCTGGCGCGGCCCACTCTGCCGCCTCCTGTTCGGCTGCCTCAGCTTCATCGGAGCACTCTTCCGGCCGTGACTTCTCCGGAGGGCGCACCTCCATGCGATTCTTGTTGCACCTCCTTGAATTCTCTTCGATTTCTCTTTTCTTCTTTTCTTTTGTGCGATTAGATTCTTTTGTAGAGTTTTCCGGCTTATGTTTGGGTTGTAATTTGTGTGAATAATTTGGTAGGATTAGACACAAAGAGGAATGATAGCAACAAGAGAAATGATTAATGCCATACTACTAACAAAGCTGATTAGTCGTCATGAACTCATGATTGATGCAATAATGGAAAGGAAAATGGTCAGAACACAAGCATGTGGAGGAAAATAATTGAAGAAAACTGATCGGGAAAAAAAGAGACAATAAATTGCTATCACCACAAGTCTACAACATGCTTCATTCATATCTCTTCACACTGGGTTAATTGCTGGATTGTTTTTCTATGTACTAGATTTCTTCTTTCAATTTGACCTTTGCTTGAATCATTCTATTTCTATGTACACAATCATTTCCTTAAACCGGTGTAAAATTCCATCCCTCTCCTCTAATAGTCCTTATCATTATGAGTTCGCCGGGGCTTGGGGTTGATGGTCGCGCGCAGAACTTCAGCGACAACTGCGGCATCAGGGTTGTCAAAGAGAGATTCCTGCGGTGGCGATGGCGGCCGACGTTTAGTCGCAAAGGGACTCCAGCTAGACTTCTTGTTCCTCTGCTGAACACGCACAATCAGAAAAGAGATGAAACTGCTGTCAATACCACTTGCTCAAATTGTTTCCAGTGCATTGTATCTTATCATATGATTCGTGCATGTGAGTTCTATAGCTGACGGCCAGGATGTTCAGGATATTTAACAGATTACAACATACTCCCTCCGTTCCAAAATAGATGGCTCAACTTTATACAAACTTTAGTACAAAGTTGGGTCATCTATTTTGGAACGGAGGGAGTACATACTTGATTATATGAGTGAATTCCAGTTTTTACCCCTGGTTTCACGTTTGTGGTAGATTTTACCCCATTTAGCAGAAATTCTCAATTTAGCAAAACTTGTGCCACAAATTACCCCATTTCATTTTATTTTTTATTCCTCTGCTGACTGTGTATATGCCACGTAGATGGTTCCGTTAGCACCCCTGTGTTGTTTCTGGTTTGCTCCGGTCTTCGGGTGATCAAACCAATGACACAATTGAAGACTGGCCGCCCCACACCGGGGAGCTTGCCAGCGACATTTTCCCCTGAAGCAGAGGTGCGGGAAGGGTTATAGGGATACCCGAGTAACTGTTCGGGATATACCGAAATAGTTGGAATAGGCTCAGTGGCCATGGCAGCATGTCCTGCCAGATGCGAGTTAGGAGGCCCGTGCGGGCTAAATTGGACCGGGGGGGGAGCTCCAAGGAGAGAAGACATCTCACAGGAGAGATGGGGGCAGCATGAGCAGCCCCGGTACCGGCCTATGGCGGTGGCACATGCCGACCACGGCATGGAGACGAGGGAGTTTGAGGTGTACAGGGTGCCACGCGCGGCTAACAGGAGTCGGGCGTCTCCCCTGCTGCTCTGGTCAACAGAAAAAAACAGCCAAAAGAACTAGAAAAATAATAAACCGTCGATGTGGCATGCATGGTCAACAGAGAAACTGAATAAAATAAAAGGCGGTAATTTGTGGCACAAGTTTCGCTAAATTGGGTAAAAATTAAGAATTTCTGCTAAATGGGGGCAAAAGCTGTCACAAACGTGAAACTGACGGTAAAAAATGGAATTCACTCTAGTTATATCAACAGTCATGAAAATCAGAGCAATGCAAGAATGAAGAGAGCAAAATTACAAGATGGGAAGGTGCAGTAGTAACATGACAGGAATCGGACAGGAGATTTGGTCTGTGGAAGGGGACGAATCAACAAACAGTTCCGTTGTGTCTTTGGCTCTTGTGCAGACAATATCCACGTTGCCTGGAGCAATGGTTTCCCCCTGTTTACAATACAGCAGGTTGCGGCGTCGCTATCCGGTGGGCCGACGCTGAGTGCTGACAACGGAAGAGGCCTATGGCCTTGGTAGAGATTGGGGAGGAGGACCGGGTCGTTGGCTTGGATGGGTTGGATAATGCTCCTGTCTAATTGTCAAAGTGGGGTAGTGAGAGGGAAACAAAGGAAAGAGTGGTTTGGCAGGGTTGGGGCTGTTGCTCTCTTATTCAAAACACTCTGTTTTGAGACTATGCTGGTTGGAGTTTCTTCAGAATGGATAGGCAGGTGGTGTCATGGCTCATGGGAGATCTGCTGCAGTACATTATAGTAAGACTGCAAACTTGGTAGCATCCAGTGGCTAGTTACATTGGAGTTTCAAAATGTTTTCCTTAGAGGAAGATATCACTTTGAGTAATTTGCACTTCAAGAATAGGATAAATGAAAATAATTACCGATGGCAAAATAGTTTTTGGTAGTAAATAAATACTTATTTAACCGTGGTACTTTGCTTGCTAGTGTATCCCAGGATACTTACTTAGAGCTACATATTCCTGAAAAAACTATATGTAGTCGAGTGGGGCCTTTTTTGGTAAGAACTGATGGTGACACTTGATATTTAAGAAGCTACATATTTCTTGTAGTGTGACAATCTTACGATTTCTCTGTACAAGAAATAACAATGTTAAACTACGCTATATGCATAGCAGCAATCAGTTTTCTTAAAGTTGTAGCAAATTGATCATGAGTTCTCCCGATAGTACAATGTGCAGGAGATGAACTTAAACCGGCAACAGACCAATCTTTATGACAGCAAGTGCATGGTCAAATTACTCCGCAAAAAGATTCACACCTCAAAAAGGGATATGCATTCTTTAAACCTATGCAGCCCTTGACTGCCTCATGCATTAAATTTATCAAGAACAAATTACCTGGTAGATGAAAACTCTAATACACTGCATGTTACAATGACGGGGGATGCCATTACCTCTAGATTTGATCCTTCAGCCTTGTCAGAGACCACATAACGCAAGACATCCATGAAGAATGCCGTCCCTTTGTCAGCACAGTTCTTAACATAGAAGCTAAGTAACTGCCCAGACTTTGCCCTCAGATGCAGTAACCTCTGCTCGATGTTTGGTTCATATTGCATCACAATGGGCCGAAGAAAGGTGTCATATACAACATCACTGCCCTACAGAAATAATTGCATTAACACGGATGTTAATTGTTATTTACATGCACTTGAGGAATTCAAAAGCAGAGTAAGTTCCATTTCACCCCCTTCTAAGAACATCACAATAAACGCCACTGAACCCCCCGGAACAACAAAAGTAGAGTGTTTAAGCCCCCAAACTTGCAAAGCCAGGTTTACATACACCCTAAGGTTTTTGTTTTACCAAAAAGGCAGACACTGCTGTTTCATTAAGATAGAGAAAGCCAAAACCAGAGTCTCATGTACAAGGCACACTGAGGTAGTTTTTCGAGGGTGTGTGCTGACAGACATCCAATTCAAGGTGCGTGTTGCCATTTAGACAGCCACATCAACCATTTTTTATGACAAGTATCTTACTATGTTTATATAGCCACATCACCGGGCCTTTACTTCCTTATATCTCCTTGTTAGTTTAAAATGGTGATATGATTACAAAATGGCAAAAACCACCCGGGGATGGACCATCCTCAGCAAAGCAGCCCTCATTCACATGGTGAAACTATAACCTACGTTTTTAGGTTCTCGGGAATTAACACCCACTTTATTGTTCATG